CGGCCCGGCCCGTTTTTGGCGGGCCATTGGCGGGGCGGGTCAAAACGGGGCGGGCTGACCCGTTTTGCCACCCCTACTAATAATATAGTTTATTTATTTTTATATAACTATTTTAAAAATTATATCTGAAATAGTTCTTTTAATCAACGATATAATTATTTTCACACTTAATATGAAAATTATATAAACTAATTATTTGTATATAAGAAATTATATAATTTTATAGTGCTTTTCTTTTATTCATTTCATTAGTAATTTATTCACACTTTTTTTTTTGTTTATATTCTCATTATTTAATTTGTTGTGTAATTTTAAAATTTATATGAAAATATAAATTGTCAATATTTATATTCTCATGTTAATATGTATATTTTGTCATTCTCTTAAAAATGTATATTTTTTTTTCATATTATAATAATACATTAAAAAATAGTAATTATAATGATAAAAGAAGCGGATTCATTTTCAAGGTTTTAGTTGTAACTTGTAAGCATATTTTATACTACCTCCTTTCTTATTTATAAAATTGAATTTATAAGATTTTTATTTCTTTGTATAACATTCAATTCATATTGTCTTATATATGAATTATTTTTAAACTAAAATATTCCTATTTAAAATTTGTTTTCTTAATTTATTAAAATGCATTAATTATAAATTATTTAAAGAGTATATATTCTAATTGATTAGGAGAAAGATGAATATTAATCAAGAGAAATAAATAGTGTTTGGCGCACTCTAGTTGGTTAGAAGATACACGAGTATTAATTAGGGAAAAGAAGTAGTATAAGGGTAGTTTTAGAAGAAGAAAAAAAATGTATAAATAAGATAAATTTTATTTTGAAAAAAAGGATAAATTCACTAGTGCAAAAAAAGGATTCCTTATATGGACTTTTCATGTTGGGTATTATTCACATGATATAGAAAGTGATTAGTGACATACATAAATATGTCAAAACATTTTATGATGGTTGTTAACTTACTCATCATATAATATTTTTTTTATGACAGGTAAGTCAACACCCGTTATAGAATGTGTTGGTCAGTCTTTGACTCTAACCTTTCTATGATGAACGTCATAGAAAGAAATATTTTGTAACAAATAAATCATCACCTACCATAGAATGTATGTTTATTACTAACATTGAGAGCGTGAATTGAGTTCATGCTCCATTATTTCACCTTCTTTTCCCTAGGCAACGTTAGGGAATTTTCTGACAACTCCACACACATTAGTCACTCGTATTGATGACCAACGTGACCACTTCTCTTTCAGTTCGACGACCCTTCTTCTTCAATTCCCCTTCGTTCTCCTAGGTTCAAACCTTTACTTCTCCTTCTTCCATGGTTTTTAGGGTTTTTGGTGGATAATAAGCATATTATTCTAAATGGCAGTTTGCTCATTACTTATAATAAATTGTTATCTAAAAAAGACTAGTAAATTATATATATATATATATATATATATA